AAATACCTAGCTCTCTCCGGGCCAGTGTGGCTCAGTGGTTGAGCATCGACCTAGGAACCAGGGGGTCACAGTTCGATTCCTGGTCAGAGCACATGCCCGGGTTGTGGTCTCGATCCCCAGTGGGGGACGTGCAGAAGGCAGCCCATCAATGATTCTCTTCATCATTGATGTTTCTCTCTCTCTCTCTCTCCTTTCCTCTCTGAAATCAATAAAATACAATTTAAAAATAATACCTAGCTCTCCATCCGGACACTGTCTCCGTTGCGCCAACAGTCCCTCCGCATTAGCTGTCTTTACTTGTCAATGCCGCTGTCTTGAGCTTGAAGTCCAGGCGCTCGAAGGGTGAGATCATATCTGCTTAATTGGGTTTATACCACCGCCTGCCCGGGAACAACACCGGCTTATTTAATACGTTTCCTAATCCCTCCTGATCACTCTCAAATGGGTGACTTCCTCACGGCTGCCTCCATCGCCTCTGGCCGGTGTGCTCGGGGGCCCCCAGCAGGGGCCCTCACCCGCTCCGATCTCTTCTGCAAACGATACGGGCACCACAGGGACGGGCTCTTCGGGGCTCAAAACCTGCTCGGACAGTGAGGCCCACGCTCGCTCCGCCATCCCCGACCCCTACATCCTGGCCCAGTTACCCATCCATTTTCTCTCAAACTTGAAGCTGCATCTTTTTTTTCTTTTTTTAATGTATTTTTATTGATTTCGGAGAGGAAGAGAGAGGGAGAGAGAGAGAGAAAAACATCAATGATGAGAGAGAATCATGGATCGGCTGCCTCCCGCACACCCTCTACTGGGGATCGAGCCGGCAACCTGGGCATGTGCCCTGACTGGGAATCGAACCGTGACCTCCTGGTTCATAGGTCAATGTTCAACCACTGAGCCACGCCGGCTGGGCTGAAGCTGCATCTTTAGCTTCAGTGGAGCCTATCTCCTCTTCACACCCCTCCACCGCACCCCTCCGTCACATCTTGAGTAGCAGACACATCCAGACACAGCTGCTGCCCTCATCCCTGTGGGTGGGTGAGGGGGTCCCGTGAAATAATGGATGTGAGGTCAGGGTGCTCTGAGCATGCTGACTGGTTACATAAACACATTACTGCCCTGGCTGGCTTGGCTCAGGGGCTAGAGCGTCGGCCTTCGGACTGAAGGGTCCCAGGTTCAATTCCAGTCAAGGGCACATGCCCAGGTTGTGGGCTCGATCCCCAGTAGGGGGCGTGCAGGAGGCAGCCGATCGATGATTCTCTCATCATGGATGTTTCTATCTCTCTCTCCCTCTTCCTTCCTCTCTGAAATCAATACAAATATATGTTTAAACTGTGAGCATGCAGAACTTCAGTGTCTTTAGGAATAATGGAAGCCGATCGGAAGTCTGAATGTGGACCCCAGGAAGGACTCCCATGCTTCCTACAGCTGCCAGCGGCGTTGACCCATCCTCTAGCCGACCACACACTAAGACTGCAAGGCCCCTTATGTACGGAAACACGAGGCACTTCCTTAAAAGGTCTGCGCCAGCCTCGCAGCGGGGACAGCGCCCTGCGTGGGGAGATAGCGCACATACTCGGCATTGCTGTCCTGACCAGTCACCTCGGGGTCGGGCTTCGGAGCGATGAGGGGCTGAATGTGGTCCTCAGGCTCCAGGGCAAGCTTTTCATTCTACACCAGCGGTTCTCAACCTTCCTCATGCCGCGACCCCTTAATACAGTTCCTCATGTTGCGGTGACCCCCAATTTCATGGTTACAAATTGAACATCATTAAAGCATAGTGATTCATCACAAACACAATATGTCATTATAGATGTGTTTTCCGATGGTCTTAGGCGACCCCTGTGAAAGGGTCGTTCGACCCCCAAAGGGGTCGCGACCCACAGGTTGAGAACCGCTGTAAACACAGAAGCTCTGGAAGTTTCTAAAGTCCCATGCAAAGAGCCTACGTTATGTGAATACAAATATTCCTACCCCTGTTTGCTAAACAGCCCTGAGAGAGAAGTGGGGGGGGGGGGCGCTTGGAAAGGCCTGTACGTTCCCATGACAAATGCAACATCGTCCGCATTTCCCACTTTTGCAAAAAGGATCCCACTTCTTCAAAAAGTTGAAAACAATGACCAGAGGACCCAGAAATTTCACTTCTGGGTGTGAAACCAACAAAATTGAAAGCAGAGTCATAAAGAGATGTCTGCACACCCACGTTCACAACCGCGTTATTTATTCAGGACAGCCCAAGAATGGAAGCAACCCAGGCGCCCCTCGACGGACGAAAGGATAAACAGAATGTGGTCTCTCCATACCATGGAATAGGATTAAACAGGAAGGAGATTCTAACACACGCTACTACGTGGGTGAACGTGAAAAACATTCTGCTCAGTAAAGTAAGCCAGTCACAACAGGTTAAGTACTGCAAGGCCCCGCCTTCAGGGCGCACCTGGAGGGGCTAATTCATAGCCCCAGGAGGTGCCATGGCGGCTGCCAGAGCTGGGAGAGGGGAGCATGGAAAGCTATGGGCTCTTGGGTACACAGAGTTGCGTTTAGCAAAATAAAACCAGTTTAGGAAGTGGTTACACAACAAAGTGAATGTACTTAATCCAAGTGAACTGTGCACTTGCAAATGGTTAAGATGATAAATTTTGTTATATGAATTTACTAGAATTTAAAAAAAAAATCTCTTGCCAGTGTGGCTTGGTCATTGAGCATTGACCTATGAACCAGGAAGTTATGGTTCAATTCCCAGGTCAGGGCACAGGCCCGGGTTTCAGGCACTATCCCCAGTGTGGGGCGTGCAGGAGGCACTGATCCATGATTCTCTCTCATCATGGATGTCTCTCTCTCTCTCCCTCTCCCTTCTTCTCTGTAATCAATCAATAAATATATATATGTATATATATATATATATTTTTTTTTTAGTTTCTTATTTAAAAAAAAAACACAGCACTACACTTTTACTAAGTCCTTCCTCAGCGAGGGTGGCCACAGCCTGAGACTCTGCACTTGGCTATAATTAGGCGCCGCGTTCGTCCTAACCCTGCGGACGTCATCATGTGCTACCAGCATCTGTTGACAGATCTCATACCCGGCATATCACTGAAATGGCAAGTGTGGAGAAGGTGGCCCACAATAGAAGCAAAGGCATTCACCCTCGCCCTGTTCCAGCAGCGTGTCTCATCGGACAGAAATAGAGGCCGGGCTTGGCTGCACGGCCCGAGCGGGTCCATATTATCTCCGGGACCCGAGTCGTTTATACCAAAAGTGGAAGCAGAGGTCCTTCCGGAGCTGCTCAGGCCTGTGTGTTTCCTCCCAGTGTCTACAACACTCAGCCTATCTTACGAAACAAAATAAATTCTCATTTTTGAACGTTTTAGCATGACCTGGAATCGGGATCAGAAAGTATAATCATCTCTTAATAATATACTTCAAGTGCTAGACGATTATAATAGTAACACAGGAAACCAACACCTAAAAAAAATTGCAAAGCCATTATATCCAAAAATATTGTGAATACATTTAAAAAAATTAAATATGGCAGAAGACTTATGTCGATATTTGGGAACGGACATTAGCTCTATTCTATGACTGTACCATACTTTAAAAACCAACAGAAGCCACTGTGATGAGTCTATTCTAAAAAGTGATGGGCAAATGACCACATGACCCACACTATCTGTCCAATTCCTTAGCTATTATACTGGACAAAGCAATCTTTGAAACAAAGACAGAAGTTTTTTTTAACCCATGAAAAATGTAACAATCAAAATTGTAAGAAAAATTTTTTTAAAAGAACACTCACTGCTAGGAATCAAAGTCACTTTTTCACATCTTGCTGATCGGTGATGCATCAGCTCGTCCAAATGACACATTAATAATCCTCAGCCCACACATCTCCCTCGCAATAAGTCATGAAAGACCGTGGAAGGTTTGAGATTTTCATTTTTCCTTTATAGATCCAACTTCTAGTTAGGACTTCCATTCTCTGGTTTCCAAGAAGGTAGGGATGGTTGGAAGTCTTAGGAACTAAGGTGGGAAATGAAATGTAGCTAAATTCAAGCTTTAAAACAATAATAATAATAATAATAATAATAATAATGGTATTTTAAGAGAGACGGTGGACAATAAAACAGAAATCCTGCTTGGTTATTTAATAATTATCCAAATATGAGATCTCTCTCCTTCCAGCTAACATTCGGTTGGGAGGGAAGGACGGGATGTGTCTTCCAATCCTATACTGATTCGCGTGAACTACCGTGTGATCACGCACAGTGTCGGCCGTGGAGGTTCCCATGCACACACTTCCATGCACACATGTGGTCAACAAAGGTCATCCACTTAGCAACAGGACCTAAGAAGGGAAATCCACGTTGCTCCACCCGCTCCCTCCACCCACCCTCCCCTCCACCCGCCAAGTAGGGGGAAGCACAGGGCGCCTGGGTTAGCAGGTCTGCGCTGGCAGCAGGAGGGGGATTATCTTCCTGGTGAGCATCCCTGCTTGTCCCAGCCAAGGGATCAGGAAGAAACCCTGAAGAGTGGAATGTTCCACTGGGCCCCGGGGAGTGCCAACCGGGGTGGCATGGGGCGCTGAGGGCTGGCTCGGCCCCTGGCCCGGGCACTGACCTCAGGGACCCATAAATAGCGTGTGAATCATCATGGCGTTATCGTGAATGTCCAGGGTTCGGGCAGCACCCCCTCGAAGGAGCCCGGGACACTCGGGAAAGGGTTTTCAGTGGCTGTTGGGGGGCAGCCCTGGGAGCACAGCGGGGCCAGGAGGCGGAACTCGGGGGCCAAGGTCACGGGCTCAGGGTCTGGTCTGATGGGAGTCGGACAGAACCATTGAACACCGCTCGCTTTGTCCTCTCGTGTCACTCACACGCGCGCGCACAGGACACCTGGCTTCATGCCTGTCCCCGGACGTGCCCCCTCTCACCCGGCGCCTGGCCGCGAGGACCCGGACAGCTCGTCCCACGGCCGGCGCCCGAGGGCACGAACACGGCACGTGGGGGACAGACCGTGGGGGACACGGACACGCGGGGGGACACGGCACGCCGGCTGACCTTCCTCTGCTGCTTCTCCCAGGCGGGGTCCAGCAGCAGGTCGCGGTCCCACTCCTCCTCCTGGATCATGTACTCGTCCTCATCGTACACGTAGTTGTACTGCACGCCGGGCTCGATCTGGTTCATGGCGCTGGGTGTCGGGGGCTGCGGGCGGACTTGGACTAACAGGCGGCGGCGGAGGCGCTGAGACTCGGTGGGCGCGGGCGGTGGCGCGGCGGCTCGAGGAGGCGGACGGACGGGCGCTGGGTCTGGCGAAGCACCTGCTCCGCGGCCAGCGGCTCAGCACCGCTTAATACC